TCATGGCGGCGAAGGGCTGGGGTTGGAAGAGGGAAGTTTCGTGGTTCATTTGGCACTGGTATTGCCTGAATCGGGGGTCGGAGCTGAGAGGAATCAGCTCAGAAAGTCGGCTCGTTCTCTCTGCCGAAACCCAAAAAAATCTGGGTTTATAAAATTTGAAGTTCGAGATATTTACGGTTCTGCCACTGAACTTCTTTTGCTCGTAACTCCTTCGTTACAACTCCGTTTTGAGTCCACTACATGTCTACGGACTCGTTTTGTCGCGCTCTACGCAACAGTACAACTGGAATCCTCAAATTCCTTCCCAGTCAAAAAGTCAACTTTTAAACTAATAAAATATTCTAGGGGTATTTTAGTCTTTTTCTCAAATAAATTAATAATTAAATATTAATTTTAGGTTTGGGTTATTACATATTTACTCCAATCTGTTTTACAGGAATCGAGGAAGAGAGAGAAGGAAGATCGAAGGTTGAAGGATCTAGAAGCGAATATTCTCCCGTGAGATTATTTGCACAAACAGATTCAACGGTGAAGAGTTCGCAAATACCGTAAGCAATAGATTGCTGAGAGGGATGATGATGAAGCATCCAAAGTGGAATCAAGCAAAGAGGAAGAAAGGAAGAGAAACCCCACTCAATTCTCTTGTATCATGAGTTGGCATCCCTTGTGTCTAGTGAGTTGAGTATTTATTTTATTTTATTTTATTTGTTTTCATACAAGTGATATTCTATTTTAATTGAATCTAAACCATGGATGGATTCAAATTCGGATGTAGACTTGGCTAAGTCCATGTTTGCGTGAGTGAGTAAAGTGGCTGACATCAGCAGCTGATTTTCAAATTTTTTTTATTGTTGGCAACATCAGCGCTAACCCACCAACCCACATAGCCTAACGGCTACAAGCCATGTGGCTTCTCCTGGAGCCTCTGATAAAAAAATATTACCTAATCCAACGGCTGTCCAATTTTTGGCTAAAGAAAACTGAAAAAAAATATTTTTTAAAAATTCAAAATTTTCAGAAATTTTTTTTTTAATAAATACCTACCAATATTTTTCACTTTCCACACCAAATTTTCTACTACAAAATTTTATTTGTGCAAAAATACAAATGGCCTCTTCTATCGAAGCTAGAGGGTTGTGGACAAACGTTCGAAGAGGTCAAAATCTTGGCAACGAGGTAAAAAAAAATTTAATTGTCGTTTTATTCAATTTAATGTCACATATATATATATATATATTTCTTGCATTACCAATTTCATTTTTTTAATAGATTATTCAAGGCAAAACAAAAAAGTGGAAACCCATTATACATGGCTCCTCAAGTGAACAATGCCCACAGTCGGTTCCAGTGGTGCGTTCCGTGTCGGGAATGATGGTACTATTACGTCCTCCGAAGGAAAATACTCCCCCACGTAGTGATCCGGTGGAACCGCCTCCGCCAGTGATTGAGTCATCCTTGTAATCGAATCTCGATTGTGTCGGACTATGAGGACTGGGAGTATTTCAATTGTATGATGAATGAGTAGGTATTTCAATTGTATGATAAGTGAGATGTGAATTTTATAATAAATATGGATGCATGGCAACTGAAAATCTTATCCGAAAATTTAATTTGAAAATTTTATCCAAAAATGTTATCTGAATTTTTAGGTGAGAATTTTATAATAAATATTGACACGTGGCAACCGAAAATTTTATCCGAAAAACTTATCAAAATTAATGGTTTAAATATAAAAAATAGAAAATAAATTAAAGTAAATAGTGTTTGCCCTTGCCCTTGCCCCTTGGAGTGGAACCAAAAAAGGCAAGGTTGAATAGTGACAAACCTTGCCTTGCATTTGCCTTGCCCTTGTCCTTTGGGGCGGAGGTGCTCTCAGGGAGGGGGATATTTTGGAACACTTCGTGTTATTATCGTTCAATTATTAATAATATCGTGAAAATTTCAACGCCGATAATATCCTTCAATTATCATAAGCATTTGGTCAATATATCGTGATAATATCGATAATATTGCGATAGAAAAAAAAATGAAAAGGCTTATGCAAGGGCAACTTAGAGAAAGAGAAATGGAGAAGACTAGAGGATTTTTGAGTTTTGATTTCAATCAACTAACTTTTACAAAGCATAGCCCACTCTTATGTAAACATATCACAGAGGGGCTTAACTGACTAACCACACAGCTTAGCTGTCTAACTAATACACGTGCTAGGTATCAGACTTGTAACAAACTTACTGACTTGCTAATCATAGTTAACATACTAAACATAGTTAACATTTTCCCTACTTAGGTAACTCTCTTAACCTAAGATGAGCACAATGCTGTGAAAAGCTAGGACCATGTAGACCTTTTGTAAAAACATCAGCGAGTTGTTCATCTGTTGAAACATATTGAACCAGCAAATCCTTCTTCTGCACTCACTCCCTTACAAAATGGAAATCAATGTCCAAGTATTTAATTCGGGAATGATATACTGTATTTGAGCTAAGAGCCAACGCAGACACAATATGCAACTGGAGGATCTGGCAGATACAGCTTCAAATCTTTTAAAACCTGTCAAATCCAAGCCAAATCAGTAGTACTATTGGCTAGAGCCCTGTACTCTACCTCTGTAGAACTTCTTGAAACAAAGCCTTGTTTCTTTGATTGCCAAGATATAGGATTGCTACCCAAAAATATCACAAAACCTGTTGTAGACCTGTGAGTGTTGATGTCTCTTGCTCAGTCAGCATCACTATATGTAGAGAGATTCATATCACCAACTGTAAAACTCAGGCCATATTCTAGAGTACCTTGCACATATCTGAGAATCCTTTTCACCAAATGCCAATGAAGATAGTAGGTTGATTCATGTATTGACACACTGAGTTGACAAAATAAGCAAGGTCTGGTCTTGTAAAATTCAAATATTGGAGAGCCCCTACAATGCTCCTAAACAATGAATCCCTGCCACTTTCATCCTTCTTCAACACACCTTATCCACCACAATAGTGATGTAAAGAATCTGAGACCTGATCTTCAAATAATTTTGCTCCGTACGCCTTATCCAAAACCCTCGTTATTTTAGACCGTAGATATAATGTATAAGTTGATTTCGGGTCAGTACTTTTTATTTGTTTATTGTTTTCAAACGGCAAAAGGCTTCCAACATTTGCCACGCTGAGTGGCCCAATCGGACGTGTAACGAGCACAGCTGCTTGAGCTTTTCGTTTTGGGGGTGTCAGAAGCTTCTTGAGCTTGTTCAAGTAACTATTTATACTACTTCACCATTCCTCTTCTGTCCTTGAGTCCCAAAAGCAACCCACAAGCTCATCAGTCCAGTCGATAATGGCGGACCGGTTCTTCCCAAATATAATGCCAGATTTCGTAGCCGAAACTCCAACTTTACCAACCCAAGAAGCAGAACCCGAAATTGGGTCTAGCTCACTCATGAAACTCCTCTCCATGCCTTACCCATCTCTCTCCGAGCGCTTCAAGCGCACAGCTTTGGACCTCAAAGAAACCATACTCACAGAGACATGGGGAGCCACTGGTCAACGCGTCCATGACTTCACTCTCTACTCTGGGGCTCTGGGCACTGCCCTTTTGCTCTTCAAATCTTACCAAGTCACCAGCAACACGAATGATCTGAGTCTTTGTTCTCAGATTATCAAGGCCTGTGACTCTGCTTCTCTTGGTTCAAGGGATGTGACATTCATATGTGGCAGAGCTGGTATTTGTGCTCTTGGGGCTGTTGCAGCAAAGCACCTCGGTGACTCTGCTTCTCTTGATTATTATTTAGCCCAGTTTAGGGAGATTAAGCTGTCAAGAAATCTCCCTGATGAATTGTTGTATGGGAAAGTTGGGTTTTTGTGGGCTTGCTTGTTTTTGAACAAACATCTTGGTGAGGGTACAATTTCTTCAGCATACATGGTAAGGCTGGTTTCTAATTGATTGTATTAATTTGGGTTTTTATTTTTAAGGGGTGGTTAGATTTTCATCCTTGGAAAAATATTATTTTGGATGACATAGATTGAATTTTGATTTTAGTCCTTTTGATTAGGTTAATGTTTGGCATATACTTTGGTTTGTATAATGTAGAGAGCAGTTGTGGATGAAATTATCAAGAACGGCCGAGCATTGGGCAAGAGAGGAAGATGCCCCTTGATGTTTGAATGGTATGGGGAGAAGTATTGGGGAGCTGCACATGGATTGGCAGGGATTATGGATGTTTTGATGGACATGGAATTGAAGCCAGATGAGGTTGAAGATGTCAAGGGCACTCTCAAATACATGATCGATAATCGCTTTCCTAGTGGTAACTACCCTGCTAGTGAAGAAGATAAAAACAGAGATGTTCTTGTTCACTGGTGTCATGGAGCTCCTGGAATTGCCCTCACTCTTGCAAAAGCTGCAAAGGTATTAATTTTGATGTTTACAGTTTCACTAGACACCGATTTTATTTGTCTGAAGAAAGCCGTTGATATTTTTGGACAGATGAGTGCAAAGTTCAACATTCATTGACTAATTACAATTTACAACACATCAAATAGTTTAATGCATTTGACTTGAAAATAAATTATGTGCTTTTTCTGTTCAAACAATTACGAGATTCTCGAGTAATACTGGTTCTTCAGTAGACTCCAGTACAGTGTTGGACTCATTGGCTTGTAATATTTAGGCAAATTCATTTACTAGCCATTTGTCGAACATAATTAAGGAATTCTACAATCTTGAACACAATTCATTACTTACTGAACTACAATTGAAGTTGTTTCCCACTGATAGTTACGTCTCCTCAAGATGTCATACGGAAGTGGTTTTCATTATCTAATTCTTTATATTATTCACTGTTAACTTGCATTTTCTTTCCTTTATGAGTTTATCTACTGATAAAGATATGGTAAACCCCAGTTTTTTGGAGATAAAGAATTTATGGAAGCAGCTGTTGATGCAGCAGAGATGGTGTGGAAACGCGGACTGCTAAAGCGAGTTGGCATTTGCCATGGCATTAGTGGGAATGCATATGTGTTCCTTTCGCTCTACCAACTGACAGGAAATCTAGGGTTCTTATACAGAGCTAAAGCTTTTGCGTGTTTTCTAGTTGATAGAGCGAACAAGCTTATATCGGAGGGAGAGCTCCATAGAGGTGATAGCCCTTACTCCTTGTTTGAAGGGGTTGGCGGTATGGCTTATCTTCTTTTGGACATGATTGAACCTTCTCAGGCAAAGTTTCCTGCTTACAAACAGTAAACTGTGTTTGTAAGAGCGAAGGGGAAGCCTCCTTGTGTAAAATTACCGTCACTCGTTGTAATTTATACTGAGTATATATGACAACTTTTCTGACCAGGTACCAGAAAATATACATCTCTATTTAGTTAAAACTGCAGTAATCTCTCTATTATCTGAATTTGAAGTTTCACCAGTAGCAGCTAAAACTTTGTTTTGGAGAATATTTAATCTGTTGAAACTTCTCCTTGATCGGTTGGGGGCTCTTTTAATAACTTTCCCCCAATGCAAATGAAGCCATGCATTATTATGCACCCTTCTCTTGTTCTTTAATCTTTAAGTTTCTTGTTTTGACTGGCCTTTTCTGCTGCCTAATTTTTAATATGATAACCTATGGGTTTATGCATCCTAGATAAACCAAATGCCAGAAACAGGAAATCAAAGTCCTCTATTACTTATATTACAACCAAGTTGAAGGTCTCAGAATTCTAACCAACTTGTACTCAAGATGCATTTATTTTGAACCCATGTATATTTTCATGTAATGTGCATGCATTGGAACAGATCAGTTACATTCTTTTCTTTTCACTTTTTAGGCACACGATTTCATGTTCTGGTGTAAACCAATGTATATACATGCATCCATACTATTTAATTGTCTTGTATTGTGAAGAAGGACCATGAATCTCATACCATATCTATTGGAGTCACCTTTTCCCCTCCAAACATTTACAGTCTGTTAGGTCAAGTAGATAGGAAAATTAGAAACATATGAAAAAAAATTTGCTCTTGGGACCTCCAGGATCATGCAAAGTCACAATGCTTTTGGCTGTTGTGGAAAAACCTGTCAGCAATAAAGGTTAGTAGCTTGTGGGTGGTGCAATATTGTTCACAAGTATATGATGCGCATAGATATTCCTATTGTGAAATCCTTTTTTCGTTGTTTATTTTAACTTCAAATTTGCAATTGTACATAGTGGATTAGAGTAAGTACTGCAGGAAATAGATAAGATGTACAGTCCTTGGAGCCTTTTAATAATGACCTATAGTCGCTATAATGCATCATGTGGGTTGCTTTGTAGTTGCAGTCTAGTATGGCATAATGGGGAAATAAGTCACTACTTCCACAGATGAATTTTCTACCTTAGTGTTAGGCAAAGAGTACATTTTAATTTTCCTCTTTGATCTTATTTTGCCACCTCAGGACTAATAGATCATTCGATTCACACCAGGCACTGTGTTTGTCAAGGAAAGCTTCTGGTCTGGAAATGTGTTCCAGCATGAAATGTGTTTTTTTTTCTGGAATGGAAGTAGTATCCAGATTGGACACAAACTTCTTCATTGATTCATTCTTTTTGTAGTAATCCTCTGGGTATTTTATAGCATGATGGAGTGGAAGTCAATCAATCAAACAAAAGTACGTAGTAGGATGGACTGTGAACTAAATGTATGAAACAGGATTGTGTCAGACGCATGCTAAATTTTCTCTTTCGGCAAGGACATACTGCCGATTTTAAATGTGTTGCACTGGTAAGTCAGCTCATTATTTTGCTCTATTTTTGGATGCGAGCAATTAAAGTTTTTCTTAGTTTTACTTTTACACTCATATAGGTTGTTGGCTACATGTACATTGTTGTCACACGTGATTTAAAATGAACTGATTATAAGCAGGGTATCAGAAAACAAAAATATAGGTAGAGAATCCTTATGTCCACCATAAGCAGTGGTTCCCCAATATGTAATGTAAGGCCCAGCCTTTTTAGTGTATGCCATATACGGTATATTATTTCCTCTCCTATATTATATTGTCCTTAGCCACACTGAGAGTATGTATGTTAGATACCATGTTTGTCAAGGAAACTGAGAATTAGCTGATTGACTTGATCCAGCAATTGCTCATGCACAAAGTGGTTTCCTTCAGCGATGAATGTAATGTCCAAATCGGGCACAAAATGCTTCATTGCTCTTCCATTCCGTATGTAGTCCTCCATCCCCGGAAATTTTAAGAAGTAGTCCTTCTCACCCATGATAAGCAGTGACGGAGATGAGATTTTTGGATCAGTTGAACCATAATCCAGTGCTGAAGTTCTGCATCAATGGAAGGGAACTGTCATTAAATTGCATTTTGGGAGATGTTTAATGTTAAATGGTATTTGGTTATATGGTTTTTTCAATGTTGCAAGGAGAATAAGAATAATATGGCAGACTAGGACACTATTAATTCCCTACTTCACAATCTTACCTTAGCAACCACTCTGTATTTCCTTGTGCTGTATTTATTTATTTTATTTTTGGGAACCAGGACAGGCAAGTCGGAGCTGTTGGAAAAAATAAGTCATATCCTGGAAGAACAGAATGCAAAAGTTATCTTTCTTGTTACCTACCTGTATGGAACTTGCAATGGAAAACGGAATCCAGATTTCTCATATAAAGATGAATAGACTGCAAGATCTTCCTCGGAGAACCATGGTGGTAGAGGAGTTGCAGGGTCAATCAAGTCCATGATTTCTTGATCAGCAGCAGCTACTGGGACCTCACTTCTGGAGAAGAGAATGTAGATGTTCCTTATCACAGTATTAACATCAAAGCGACCAAAATCTGCTTCTGCTCTCCCTGGTTCCTGGAATTAGGTAAGAATAACAGTATCATTGATACAGAGTTAAACCTTGTGATGATTGGAACAGGTCCAATGAAAAATTTTGTTGACAAAATGAAGATCTTAATAAAATGAATATACCTGCCACCTTGTTATGTAGAAGCCATGGGGGAATAGATGATTTTGGACACCAGAGAGACCGGTGGTTATCAGAATGGGTTGCTAAAAAAAATTGAAGAAAAGAGTTGTTATCCGGTGGTTATCAGAATTTTGGATCTTACCGTGTCCAATTTCCGCTGCACGAAGCTTTAGTCCTCTTACTACCACATTTCTGTGTTGTATCTGTTCCATGAGAGCAAGAAAGAGACTCTTGAGTGAGAGAAGAAAATGAAATAAGAGAGGATGGCAGGCAGAATAAGTAAATAGATAATGTCAAGAAGTCAAGCGTTTGTTTCTTGTCATTGTTGTCAAGCATTTGTTTTAATTGCCGCCTTTCATTGTTTTAAGTTTATGTCAATACATAGAGGCTTGCGTATGTCTAACAAAACCATGTACTACTTTGAGGATTGTGAAAAATTTAAGGGTTTGCAATGACTGCCACTCAATGTTCAAGTTGATAGAAAAAATTACCAAAAGGAAAAAATTTAGGCTATGGATTGACAAGGGATTTTCACTTTGTCGATTTCTCACTTTGTAAATTGTTTCTATATTTTTTCCTTGGGTTAACTACATAAAAGTACCCAATCATTTTTAAATTGTTGTTAGTATAAAAAATAGTGTCAAAACCGTTTGATAAATTTTAATATAAAATTGTTGTAACTATGAATAATGACTAAAATGTACAAGATGTTGAAAGCGTTATGTGCTAATCACGTGATGGTAGTGGTAGTTGTGGTGGTGGTGGTGGTGGGGTTGGGGTGGGGGTGAAAGAGATAGATGTGAAGGTGGAGCTGGTGAATGTGGTGGTGGTGAGGATGGCAGTTGTTGAGGGGGAGCTGATGGTGGCGATGGTAGCATGGTGGAGGCGGTGGTGGTTTTGGTCGTGGCGGAGGAGGATGAGGAGGAGGAGGATATGGTGGTAGTGGTGGTGGTGGTTGTAGAGGTGGTGGAGGTGGTGAAGTTGCATGTAGAAGTGGAGGTGATGTCATTTTTTAAAATGAATGATGGTATTTTGGGAATTAAAAAAAAAAATCATTAAAGGACTTTACTTCTTTTGAAAGCAGCTTTGAAAATCAACCTAGAGCCTGCTTTTAAAAGTTGTTATCAAAAGGTCACTTCTTTTTGTTATAAAACTAAGGGGAATTGTAGACAGCAATAAGAGAAAGAGAAATACAGGGTATTTATTATATGACCTTTTATCAACATATCTTATTCATCTTTGATAAGCGCCTATTTATAGGCTTACAATAGAGGTATTTAACCCACAATTTAGAGCTACTAATTACAATAATAAGGGCATAGGTTACAAAGCAATAAGGGGTGGAGGTAATGGATATTATGGTGGTCATCCACATTCCATAGATTTATAACTCCCCCTTGGATGTCCACTATACAATGACATTGTTGCCTCATTAAAAACCTTGCTTGGAAAGCCTTGTGGGATAAAACCGAAGATAAGGAAAAAAGAATGCAACTTTCTTTGGATCATTGACATGGTGTTGGACATGCTTATGTTGCCTCGTTAAAACCTTGCTAGGAAAAACCCAGTGAGACTAAAACCTAGTCGAAGGGAAAAAAAGTATAACGCGCATATGTCCTGTATGTAGTAGAATTAGGATCCTCCCCTTGATTGATATCTCCCACTGATTAATATCTTCCCCTGATTTTCATTAACTTTTGGAATTTATGCTTTAGAAAAAGCTTTGGTAAAAAGGTTCGCCAGATTATCTTGTGAACGAATTTGTTTAACTCCAATCTCTTGGCTTTTTTCTGAAACTATGTCACCCTTGATGAACCCTTCTCTGATTTGAGAAATACAAGCAACATTGTCTTCATACATGATCGTTTATCACACTATTCGACCTGTTTTTAACTTTTCAAATGATTGAACTCTTTAGTATCATCAACAACTAATCTAATAGTTAGAATATGTTACAACAATATCAAATTTGAATTCAAAATACTCAAACTCTTAGTGTTAACTCTTAATCAAGAATATCATGGTATTTTATATCTTTTAAGGGGTCGCTTCATGCGATATATCTCAAATATTTCATGAGCTTTGAGGATCTCCATGTACCACACAATCTTAATAAATATGCATTTAACACATGCTAAAAGTTTCACGTTAAAATAACAACTGCACTAATAGAAATATGGATGCATCTATGATGAGATGGGAGACTAAAATCATGTCTCTATTAGGAAACCTTATGTCATATTAGTGATCTTATTTCACTTCACACACACCAATCCATAACCTTCATACTTAATATTTGTTATTTGGTGTTTGAGTTATAGGTTCAATATCCAACCTTTCATATTTAGTGATAAATGGAATTGCCTATTTCCATTTTTGGCCAAGCACTTAACTTGTCGACATTCATGAAACGTGATTTAATATAATCATAGCCCTTGATGGTTGTAGTAGCTACTAATAAACCAAATGTATCATCGATTTGTGATCCCATAATTCTCATATGCGCGTCCATAATTTAGAAGCATCACATTGCTTTGGGGTACTGATGCCTCTTTAGGGGCTTCTGTTGTCACTTATGGGACAAACATCTCTTTTAAGATGAATTATATAGAATATGTGGATCATAACCTCCTATAGAGCGTTCTTTTCAATAGGGCTTGAATTTTTCAAATAATCTCCACTTCTGGGGAGTTAAGTCTTTATAACCTATATTTATGTCATGCTCTAAGCATTCATGATATATAGTCACTTACTGTCATGTTAATGAATTGTGATACGAGAATATCAATCTGTGTTAGCATATGTATAACTTATATATGCATTATCTTGATGAGACAAAAGCGGATTGATTCAACACCATTTTACGACGTTCTTTAGGAACTGCCATTTCTCCCCCTAATGGCAGGAACATTGTCTCAAAATTTAGGAAAATAAATTCACTGTCATTATCAAGTCAAATTGACTGGATTGGATAATGTGGGAGTGGTGCTCGTAAGCGTCTTGACAATAGACAAATATGTCACCATTTTAGTAGGCACATTTAGTAAAACTAGTGAAGTGATCCATAATTAAATGTTGTCACAAATATCCCCTTGAATTATTTAAGGAAAGAGGGCTCAAAGTCAATTTTTGACCAAGATGATCTTATGACAGCTTTTATTTATGAGAATGCTTTGCAATGATATTCGTTGGACAAAATAATATTTTGAGTCTTTAAACGATGTCCTTACAAATTTATAAAAATCTTATGTATCATTGTGGAACATGGATTGCCAAGACAGTCATGCCACAACATAAAAGTTATCCGGTCAATGAACTTCTGGTTCATGGCATCATAATCTTCAACCACTTTAATAGTTGTGTAATATTGGGGCCTCATGAACTTCTGGTTCATGACATCATAAACTTCCTACCCACAAAAGAAAGTAGGGAGTTTCTCCAATCGACGCCTCTGGCTGTCAATATTGGGGTGGTAATACAAAACATTACCATTGTAAAATGAAATTAACTAATAACCCAACATAAATAAAATAAAATGAGTAAAGTGGTATAAACAAGGAATAAAATAAATAAATTCAAGACTATGAAATTCCAAGATAATCCAATATTAATGTGGATTCAATATGTAGATAAAACTACAAGTTTAAGAATTGGATTTCCAACCAATTCAAGTTCATATATGCACAAATAAGTAATGAACTTCAGGTTCATATATAGTATTAAGATCCATGAAAAACTATGAACTTTAGGTTCATATCAACATATATTCGAAACTTTAGGTTCGAATACGTAGATCTAAATAAAATAAATTAATAGTTATGCTTTGAACTTCATACTCAAATTGATGTATATGCACTTGAAAATTCTAGTTCGGATTCTTGACATATGTAGGCTTCATGGAATTCTGATTTTTAATTAATACAAAAACAAGGAGTTTCATGTACTTATGTGCTCTTTAAATTCGTGGAACTTCATGAGCTCAATTATTTGGAATCAAAGAATTTCAGGTTCTGATTCAATGGAAAAAAAAACTCCAAGTCTTAATCTAGTTATATGATGAGGATCGAGGAACTTCGGACCCTGATCTTTTGTATAACACAAACTCATCATAACAAGTTGTAATTAATTAAGATAATGCTTAAAATTAAATAAATAAACAAGTAAAAAAAAAACATGGTATCATATTCAAGTGCAATAAGAATAAGAAACTTCTTTTTTTCTTAAATGAACATGATGAAGTTTGATGGTGAGTACAACGAAACTCTATACCATATGATGACTATAGCTCATATAAGAAAATGAGGAAATCAGAGAAATAAAACATACTAAGAGCAATATCGTGCTGATAACGTGTTATAAAACTAAGGGAAATTGTAGACAGCAATAAGAGGAAGAGAAATACAAAGAATTTATTCTATGACCTTGTATCAACATATCTTATTCATCTTTGATAAGCACCTATTTATAGGCTTACAATAGAGGTATTTAACCCACAATTTAAAGCTACTAATTATAATAATAAAGGAATAGGTTACAAAGCAATAAGGGGTGGTGGTAATGGATATTATGGTGGTCATCCACATTCCATAGATTTATAACACTTTTAAAATAATCGGGATATTTTATTTTACCAAACACCTTAAACTGCTTAACTTTAAAGTGAAGCATGATTTTGGCCAAAAAAGGCAAATCCCAAACGGGCCTTCAGTCTTACTTTGTGTCACAACTCATTTAGCCAATGCCAATCATTGGGATGAACGTTTTCCTCAATCTAGGATTCAATATAATCAATGCTCGCAAATAGGTTGTTCGCTTGATATCCATTGTTGTCACACCTTATGTAATACAAAAAATATATATATCCATTGTTGTCACACCTTATGTAATACAAAAAATATAAGTAGAAAATTCATATTTCGAGCGCATACGACTGATGCTCGAATGCAGGAAATTGAAGGTCATAAAAATATTTTCCTTGAAGGAGAAGCTAATCACTTGTAGATACAACATAGAAGAACAAGATTCAAATGTAACTGTGGCATTTTCCTCAATATCGCGGAATCTGGATTCATTTGCATATGAAAATATTTTTTTCTCCATATCATTTCTTGACCTGCATAATTTATAACTTAAGTTTACAATGTAAATAAAGAAGTCCCCAATTTGGATTTAATTAAAAAATACTAGAAAATCAAATTCCCAACAAATCAAAATATGAAAATCCAATTTTAGTATAAGATACAATTTATACCAATATTGATACCTCAATAAGTCAATGTATACTTCATACTAAAATCTAAAAAAATCCTGTTTGCTTATTTAAGATGTAAGAAATATAAACTGCCAAAATATCATTGAAAACATTAATATTTCAAAAGTCCATTTTTCATACTTAGTCAAATTTCGAGCGAAAACAGTTTTTCATGTGTAGTATGGGCGGATCTACTCGGGTTGAGCCATGAGTGGGCCCGCTCAAGTCGAGTCATGGGCGGGCCTAGTGG